CTCTCTCTCTCTCTCTCTCTCTCTCTGTCTCCCCCCCCTCTCTCTCTCTCACGCACACGCACACACACACACACACACACGCACACGGTTTTAAACACAAACATGTTTGTGTGGGTGCACATAATCCAACACTCCTGCCCTTTAGCTCCTCTCCCACTCTCCACCTGTTGAGTTTTTTTAAGAAAAGAACTGGTTGTTCTTCCTATTGCCATCTCACACACAAACAATAATAATAAAAAACAAAAACAAAGTGTAAATGGTGTTTTGTTGCTCTTTTTTCCCAGATGGCCCTGGCTCTTAACAGTAGTACTGGCAACTCATTAGTACTCATCGATGAATTTGGCAAAGGAACTAACACAGTAAGATGTATTACTCCCACTGCTCTGTGAATTAAAGAAAAAATTAAATATTGTTACTCAAATGAAGCAGAAAAACACCTTCAATTCTTCTACTAGCATGTACCACTGAATTAAAAAAGTAGTCTGTCTAATCTAAAACCCATAAACCCATCTTTAATTCATAAATAGAAATAAAGAGCATGTTACAGTATGATCACGTTAACAGTGTTGTTCGCTGTATAGGAGCAAATAATTTGGAACTACACAGGGGCCATAAAGTTTGTTTTAAGAAAATTGCAACGTAAAAGTAATTTTGAAACTGAAAAAAATAATTAAAAAGATTTGAAACAAAAAAATAAGGTTTAAAGCTGAAAAACAATTTTCAAGCAGAAAAAAATTGGGGTAATATTTTGTTCAACTGCTGTGTTGAGCTGCTGATCATGATTCCACACTCCCTGTCATTTTAGGCCCCGCCCCCACTCCAAATCAGAACCAGAAGAAACTGATTTAAAAAATCATACGTTATAATAAGCAGTCTGCCAGTACCTATTTTTTCTGTCATTTAATGTCACATTGGACAAGCTGTTATCAGGGGAAAAAACATGTCAAATTCTATTTTAGTCTAATTGGCTAAAAAAACAACAACTGAGTGACACAATCAGACCCAGAAGTATTTGATTACTGAATATTATCCTAATGAGTTCAAATGTAGCTCTTTCAATGCCAGATATGTAAATGAGCAGCTGTTAGCTAAATAGTCTAAATGGATAAGTTAATACGTGTTGCTCACAGCTTGCTTTTGCTGCACTGAAGACACAGAAAGTGTCAAACTCTGGCCTGCAGGTGGCAGAAGTGACACAGCTGATTATTTAGCTGCACATTATGGCAGATCTGCAGACTTATTAATTGTTAACTGCTTTATTTCTTATAGCAGCTTAGTAACAATTTATCAAACGTTTGTCTAAAAAAATGTGAATAAAGACAGGAGTTTGACTAATAGCTGCAGAATGTTTTTGCTCCCTGTTCAGGTGGATGGGCTGTCTTTGCTGGCTTCATCAATCTCTCACTGGCTGAAGAAGCCTCTGCTGGATGTTCCTCACATTCTGTTGGCAACTAACTTCCACAGCCTGCTGCAGCTGGACCTGCTACCAGCCAGTGGCCTCCTGTCATTTCTGGTAGGGAAACAAATGGAACAAGCTGTCACCTGAGGCCACTGTGTTTAATGATGATGCTGCAGGATAGTTTTGACAGCAAAAACAAAAACCAGATAATACTATCAGGGCTGGTCCTAGTCAATTTGGCGCCACTGCCAATGTACATACATTCATATACCAAAATAAATTGTTTTCTCTTTGATATAATTTTATTTATCTTTAAGGACCAAGTTGTCCAATTAAAATTGTTAAAAATCTCATTCATTTTAAACAGAGTGCCAGAAGTCTACCACATACCTGCCAACATTTGCGAGACAGGGGTCTCTGCAATCACTAAGTAGGAGTTTCTTGTTGTGTGGGAGGAGTTTGTTAAAGACATGATTGGTCAGATTCACTATTTTAGGTAGGGTTTGAAGAACTCAAGTGCAGCTGGGGGGACTAGAAAGCGCCTATTTTTTAAAATATAAATATTGGTTTTAGTCATAACTCCACAGGAAGTTTAGCCTGGCAGCCTGGCCCTTGCCTTCCTACACAGTTACGCTCAGTTCTAGTTTCCCTTCACTGCTCCGTCTGGGATTTCTCCCATAGAGAACGATTTCTTCAGGAGAATTTCGTTTGGGCCAATCAGAGAACAGAAGGCGTAGTTTTGAACGACAGCGTCGATTTTCTGCGCAGTGTCTGCTTGTGAGTTTAGCAATAGCAGTGGAGGAAGTGAATGAAGCCAGTCCATGTTGATAAGGCTTCCAAATTAAATTAAATTTATCTGCATACACATACACAAACGTCGCAGCCAACCAATCCAATCATTTTAAACTTCAACAGAGGCCATGTCTCCAGCAAGAATCACTTCTCAATAGTCAAGAGTCCAGACCCTTGTATGAAGCAAAGCGAAGGACAAGGGGCTGGTTTTAACCAGGCTACAGGAAGGTGCTTACTGCATGAAAAATAAAAGTCAATAAATTATATTTATATGTTCAGAACAACTTTTATTTGAGACATAGTTCTGTTTAAAATTGATCAAACCAATCGTGATTTTGTCAAATTTCGCCCACCCAAGAACCTCTGCCAATCGCACAGTTAAAACAAACTTCTTCTGCATCAAGAAACTCCCCCAGTGTAGAGCAGAGACCTACTTGACATCTGTTGACAGAAATGTGGAACACCTGTTCATGTTAACAAGCAGCTGTGGACTGAAACAGTTCTATGGGGTTCCAGGTATACTTTCCCAGAAACATAAAATCAGTATTTTAACCTGAACTTCGTCTGAGATCATAACTGAAACTTCCATTCTCCTTACTTTGTTTTCTGTTTACACACAGAGCACCAGTAGTTAGTCTTGACTGCATCATATGATACTTTTATCATGAAACATCCTCTGCACCATATAACACCTCATGCAGAAACAGAGCAGCTGAGTAACCCACAGAATAAGTTACCTTCATAAACCTGAGTAACCAGTGATTATTCTACAGAATAAACCAACTATACTCTGATAAAAAGTTATAAAATATATATTTTGTCCCCCATTTGTGGCGCCCCTGCATAAACAGGGCCCTTAGCATTTGCCTATACTGCCTATGCTACAGGCCGTGATCATAAGAGACAGAAATAAAGAGAATCAGAATAAAACTGTATCAAAAAGCCTCAATAAATAAATGAATTAGGGTCCTAAACACACTGGTGAAAATGCAGGAAAAAATCTGCACAAATGAAAAAAGCTCCACAATTTCCTGAAAGATCAAAAGGAAAAAAAATGTTTAGGTCTTCTGGACGGGTTCTTCTTTAATGAAACGTTTCGTCTCTCCTCCAAGAGAC